GAGGCACCATACACTGATAAAGCGTAAGTAATATTAGGTAAAACTATGGAAGATGTGTTCATTATACTATTAGTATCTATGCCAACTTGCCCTGATTATCCAGGGGTCTCCCAGACACAGACCAAATCTCCCGGTCTCCTGCGGGAGTCAACAAATCTCTTAGATACAAAGGAAAATACCTAAAGTACACTTGTCACACTTATTTCGGTCAATTTTTGGTGTTTTCAAGAGAACTGTTTTTGGATAATTATTTGATGTCTGTTTTGGTTGGATGAGCTGAGCTCTACTCTTAAACAATTTTTTGGAGGGAAGGGAGGAGTTAGAGATAATAAAATAGGCAGCAGTCTTCCAGTGTTTTGATTAGTTCGGCATTAGGTTAGTTTGCTCTAACCTAACCTAACCTAACCTTGATCTTCAGTGAAGATAGTGCAATTCTATCTTTATTGAGGATCAAATTAACCACATTGATATGCACCAAAAAAAAATGATATTGATAATGTCACGTCAGAAGGGCTCCAGCGTATAATTTGACTCTTTGTTATGATTTGTAGCTTAAAATGTTCCACTTGCATCAGGTTGATGACTTTGAAATATAGACCTTGAACAGTGCTGGCAGGAGAGAGAATACTTGTTTTTCTCTTCAATCACATCAGCAAAATTTTAGGCTATTGAGGGCGCTTTCCATTCAGTGAAAAATTCCATTTTGAAGGGTCCTAAGTCTGCTAGAACCAAACTTTTAGCATAAAGTCAACAGTATGGTTTTTGGATTTGAATGAAGCATTGTGGTTATTTATCTTAAGCAACTGGGTTACAAATACCAGTAAGTCTTTCCGCTTTCTACAAGAACAATTGAGTTCACGATGGTTGCTTCCCACATTTAATATTCAACAAAGTTTTTCTCAATCACGAGACCATCAACTTAATTATTTAATATGGAGTTTTTGTCATATTAATATTTATTATGCCTAATAAACTCTACAGACAGGTTGGCTATATTCACGCTGGATTAACCCAACCGTTGATGCTGCAAGACAAACCCTCAACAGCTTAGAAGGTGGACATGGGACGTTGCTGTTTTCCTCTGGTATGGCTGCTATTTCAACAGCTTTATTTGCTGTTCTCAAATCTGGAGATCATGTGGTTAGTATACGGTTCGTCTGTCTTTGGTTATAAATCATAATCCAGTCCTCTTCGTCCCATGAGGGACATAGGGCATCCGCTATTGTCTCTTATTTTTGTCAAGCTTGAACCATTCTTCTGATTTAAGGGCCCATTAACTGATCTTTTCGAGCCATTGCTAAGAAAAATTTATTCTCATATAACTTCATCATTTTTAGTTAGTTCAGAGTTATTTCATGAGTTTTAACTTTTTCATGATCAGTAACACCAGTGATGACGTCATCAGGCCACGTCCATGGTCATGTGACTAATACTGAAAAAAAAATATGCAAAGGCTCCCAGGCAAATTACTTTAGTTTGTATTCAGGTGGCTCTCTCCGCTAAGAACAATGGGCGTAGAAGGGAGACAGGAAAGGCAAAAGACATATATCTTCTTTCTTCTTCTCGCAGTCCCTTGCTCTTCACACTGATATGGCCAGTCACTTGCACTTGGCACTCTTTGAAGGAGGTTGTTTTTTATGTGTGGTTCAATAGGGTCATTATCAGACCAGAGATATTTTCATCTTATAAAATTGAAACTATTGTTATCAGCTACTGCACATTTGATCGTTCCTGTAATAACGATTGTGTGTACTATCTTGCTTACATGTAAATTGGGTAATGTTACTTCTCATTTGAACTATTGTTGACTGATGTGCTTGTTTGTTTGCTTTCATTTTGTTTGACAGGTAGCTCCAAAGATGGTTTACTGTGGTACTTTTGGCACTTTAAAATTTGTTCTCAAACGTTTTGGAGTGGAATATACATTTGTAGATGGCTCTGATATTTCCCAGTATCGTGAAGCTGTGAAACCCAACACCAAGGTATATAGTAACTTCTTGAAAGATTGTCATCACAGGTTGTGAATGCAACTTCAACAGTTGCAAACATTAGCCTGAAAAAAAGTCAGGCTTGAACGGGATTCAAACCCATGACCTCTATGATCATTGTGGAGCTATCAGACCAGCTGGAAGCTGGTCAATTTGTGAGCTCTTTGCATACCTGTAGATGATGAAGACAAGCAAATGAGTAGATGAAATATCACATATTTGAACTGCAGGACAAAGATATACTACATGGAAGATCATCACAGTTATGAATCATGCAACTTATGTGGTTGCAAAAAATTCAAGTTTAAATGGGATTCAAACCCACAGTCTCTGCAATACTGGTGCAGCTGTGCTCTATCAACCAAGCTTTCCAGCCAACTTGGGGCTGGTCAATTTGGGAGTTTGTTATAAACTTGTAGACGATGAAGATAAAGCAAGTATGTATATGACATATGACTCAATTGAACTACTAGAGGAAGATGTACCAGTACTGTATGAAAGATCATATTTGCAGTTATGAATGCAGCTCAGGCAGTTGCAAAATAAAGCCTGAAAATAACAGGCTTGAACGGGATTCAAACCCATGTCCTCTGTGGTGCAGTACGTTACCAACTGAAGCCAACTGGAAGCTGATCAGTTTGTGAGTTGGAAATAAATATAACCATGGTGGATACAAGCAAGTGATTACATCAAACATCACATATTTGAGCTGCAAGAGAAAGATATACAACATGGAAGATCATCACAGTTATGAATGCAACTTAGGCTTGAGCGGGATTCAAACCCACGGCCTCTGTGACACCGATGCAGTGCTCTGTTAACTGAGCTATCAAGTCAACTTGGAGCTGGTCAATTTATTCAGTTTCCAGTTATTGCATACAGGTTTAGATCTAGAGGCCTGCGTGTAAGTATTTACTTTTTGCAAGGAAATTTGATTTCGAAGTGTGCTAGAAATGGCAGTCTTTTATAACAAGGGAGTTAAACATTTGCTGGTGTAAACCTGCATATTATAGAATGGTCAAATTCACTGCTCAGAAATGCTGCAAGTTGCCTTCATGTCGAACCATCACAATTAACCAATGATTATTGTTTTTAATCATGACATCCTTGTCCTCCACATTTTGTTAAAAATAATAATAATGATGATGATGATGATGATGATGATGATAATTATAATTATAATAAATCATCTTTATGGAGGAAGCTTCCATCTCACTGCATGGTTTTCAGGGAGGTTCTCAGTAACTTTTAGAGTAAAAAATTAAAAACTAATCAAATCCAATTACTGTTAAAAAATGGAAGTAAAAATGGAAAATCACTTTTAAAATTTAAACCTATCAAGTAACGACAGTCTCAAAGAATTAAAAGGGAGCTTTTTTAATCTCTCACAAGCTTGCCAATTCTGTGTGAATTATTCTGTGGCTGACCATCCTCATCATTTTGTGTATATACTGGTAACAGCCACCAACTCATGAGGAGAACAGGCAGTTGTACACATGCAGAAAGATTTTGCAGATTTTTTTTCCCTGCTACTCGTGGTTACCACCACCCTGGGAATACCATTTCCTGACCCCTATTCTTCTGCCTGTAAGAGTTCTGTCTTCCTTTACATCAGAGTTCCTGCCCTCTTGCCTACTCCCTGCCCCCAACTTGATAACATGCTCACTCATGGCCCATGTTATACATAGAGGATAAAACATGGGCACACGTAGATATGCATTGCAATTCATTGTCTGTGATTATTGTTTTGTTTTTCAGGTTTTATACTGTGAAACCCCATGCAATCCAACCAATATTCTCACTGATCTGGAAGAGTTTGCAAAACTTGGCAAAAGTCTTGGTATTATCACCATGGTTGATAGCACCTTTGCGTCTCCATTTAATCAAACTCCCATTAAACAAGGCATTGATGTTGTAATTCATAGCTGGTATGAATATTTGTTAGATCAGTTTTACGTTTATTTGTTTAATGAATAAGGATTTAGCAAAAGGGGCTTTTCTCAAATCAATATAAAATTACTCAAAGTGTAACCAAAAGACCTTTCATTTTTCCTACATACACTTATACATGTTAGGCTCAATTTCTACTGATCTTGGGGAGGAACACAGTCTCCTTCCCCAAAAAGCAGTTGGTAATCAAGCCCACATACATGCACAGGTCACCCAAGTGTAATATAAGAGTTTGTAGGTAGAACTGTGGCTGAAATACAATGTATGGGTAATTCAGCGAATAAACACTCTTATCATAACACCATGTGATAAATTATCGAAATTCACCCAAATCTTGGATGAGATGAGAAGAAACGACACCACTGAATGTTCAAGAGTCTTTATTGAGTGAATTACCATTGATCAATTTCAATGTCATATCCTAATCTCTACACAAACTCATATTTCAGCCTTACATTTAGTTCTCCATACAAACTCTTTCATCACGCTTGGGTGACCTGTGCATGCATGTAGACAAAGGTTCACTTAATTTTGCATTCTTAAATTTGTATTTGTCCTTTCACAGCACCAAGTATCTTGGTGGACACAGTGACATCACGGCTGGTTCACTTACGCTCTCGTCACAGGAATTGCTGTATCAATGTTACGAGCTGCAGAAGTTTTTTGGCGGATGTTTGGTGAGCACAAAATTTCAGAAAAACTAATGCACGGGCGTGTAGTGGGGATTAAGCATTCAGGGTTAAGCAACGTTTCTGTCATTTTGGGTTAGCTTAGTACCCTAGGGTTAGCTAAGGGTCAAGCAGAAAATTAGGTTAGGTTAGGGTTAGTTTTTGGGTTAGTGTAAGGGTTAGCAATCAATTATTGTAAGGGTCACCCTTGCTGGTCTCCCGTGACGTAGTGCGTCCAACAAAATTTGAACAATGTTGCTGTCACGCTAAGACATTTAAAACACTTTAAAAGCTCGGTTCTGATTGTCTAAAAACGTGTTTTTGGTCTTTGCTTGGTTTTGAACATTCGTGCCAAATTGACAGGAAGTCAGAGAAGCTGTAGAGATCTCTGTAATTTGGAATGATTTGAGATGTTGCCCGGGGGGGACTCCTGTACAAAAAGGACGGGGGTACTCGTTATACCTTTTAGGGGTAACTCTTAGGGTGTTCAGCCTCGAAAGGTCCACAGCAGGAGCTTCTGCAGTACCTTTTCGGGTGTATAGCTAAAAATGTGACAGGAGACAATGTGGTGAAAAAAAAAAATCATGCCACGCTCACAAACAGGATCTTGGTATCTCTTAGGGATTCTTTTCAAAACTTCTGCCGAGCTCTCCCATCCTTTTTATCTGGAAGGCTTGGGAGTGTGCCCGGATGTTGCCTTGCAAGTGTATTCAGGATATTGAGAACGTTTCCGTGTAGAGATGAGCCAAGCCTGGGTACAAGGCAGCAGTAGTTGAATTGAGCACACAAAGCTGATCTTTGACTTGATCATGAATAGTGCCTGGATTTTGCCGTATTTTCGAAGTCTATTATCAGTGTTGTTAAGTGTTGCCCTTGTTCCATTTTGTTTCTTGTAAATTATATTTTAATTTTTGTAGTCGCCGTTTGACGCATTTCTCCTTCATCGTGGACTGAAAACCCTCCACGTGCGCATGGAAAGACACAACCAAAATGGCATGGAAATTGCCAAGTTCTTGGAAGCTCATCCCAAGGTATTTATAATAAACGCCTGGCCTTAAATAAAGTATGGTTTAGACGAGTTTACAAACTGTAACTTATGATAATCCCTGCGGGATTATAGAGATTTTGTAATGATCCACTCAAATTTCGCCAAGATCTTGTCCAAATCTATTGATCTCTCCAAGATTTCCTCCGAGTCTCGCCACGGTCTCGGCTAAATCATGATCTTGCCGAGATTGGCGAGATTTCTTGCCGAGTTCTTGGATACATCTTGCCGAGATCTTGTCTCTGAAATCCCGCCAAGACCTTGGCTAAATCTCGGCGAAATCTTCACTAAATCCCGCCGAGATCTTAGCTAAATCTTCCCGAGATCTAGACTAAATCGTAGTGAGATCTTGGTTAAATCTTGGCGAGATCTTCGTTAGATCTTTGCGAGATCTTAGTGAGATCATGGTTAAGTCTTTTCGAGATCTTGGTTAAATCCTGGCGAGATCTCGCCGAGATCTTGGGCCAAATCGTGATCAGACCTTGGTTAAATCTTGGCGAGATCTTGGCGAAATCTTCACAAAATCTCGCCGAGATCTAAATATTCGCGAGAAGTTGGCTAAATCTTGGCTAAATCTTGGTGAGATCTCGGCTAAATCTTCGCTAAATCTTGGCTAAATCGTGGTGAGATCTTGGTTAAATCCTGGCGAGATCCTGGCGAGATGTTGGCGCGATCTTGGTTAAANATGATGATGATGATGATGATGATAATTATAATTATAATAAATCATCTTTATGGAGGAAGCTTCCATCTCACTGCATGGTTTTCAGGGAGGTTCTCAGTAACTTTTAGAGTAAAAAATTAAAAACTAATCAAATCCAATTACTGTTAAAAAATGGAAGTAAAAATGGAAAATCACTTTTAAAATTTAAACCTATCAAGTAACGACAGTCTCAAAGAATTAAAAGGGAGCTTTTTTAATCTCTCACAAGCTTGCCAATTCTGTGTGAATTATTCTGTGGCTGACCATCCTCATCATTTTGTGTATATACTGGTAACAGCCACCAACTCATGAGGAGAACAGGCAGTTGTACACATGCAGAAAGATTTTGCAGATTTTTTTTCCCTGCTACTCGTGGTTACCACCACCCTGGGAATACCATTTCCTGACCCCTATTCTTCTGCCTGTAAGAGTTCTGTCTTCCTTTACATCAGAGTTCCTGCCCTCTTGCCTACTCCCTGCCCCCAACTTGATAACATGCTCACTCATGGCCCATGTTATACATAGAGGATAAAACATGGGCACACGTAGATATGCATTGCAATTCATTGTCTGTGATTATTGTTTTGTTTTTCAGGTTTTATACTGTGAAACCCCATGCAATCCAACCAATATTCTCACTGATCTGGAAGAGTTTGCAAAACTTGGCAAAAGTCTTGGTATTATCACCATGGTTGATAGCACCTTTGCGTCTCCATTTAATCAAACTCCCATTAAACAAGGCATTGATGTTGTAATTCATAGCTGGTATGAATATTTGTTAGATCAGTTTTACGTTTATTTGTTTAATGAATAAGGATTTAGCAAAAGGGGCTTTTCTCAAATCAATATAAAATTACTCAAAGTGTAACCAAAAGACCTTTCATTTTTCCTACATACACTTATACATGTTAGGCTCAATTTCTACTGATCTTGGGGAGGAACACAGTCTCCTTCCCCAAAAAGCAGTTGGTAATCAAGCCCACATACATGCACAGGTCACCCAAGTGTAATATAAGAGTTTGTAGGTAGAACTGTGGCTGAAATACAATGTATGGGTAATTCAGCGAATAAACACTCTTATCATAACACCATGTGATAAATTATCGAAATTCACCCAAATCTTGGATGAGATGAGAAGAAACGACACCACTGAATGTTCAAGAGTCTTTATTGAGTGAATTACCATTGATCAATTTCAATGTCATATCCTAATCTCTACACAAACTCATATTTCAGCCTTACATTTAGTTCTCCATACAAACTCTTTCATCACGCTTGGGTGACCTGTGCATGCATGTAGACAAAGGTTCACTTAATTTTGCATTCTTAAATTTGTATTTGTCCTTTCACAGCACCAAGTATCTTGGTGGACACAGTGACATCACGGCTGGTTCACTTACGCTCTCGTCACAGGAATTGCTGTATCAATGTTACGAGCTGCAGAAGTTTTTTGGCGGATGTTTGGTGAGCACAAAATTTCAGAAAAACTAATGCACGGGCGTGTAGTGGGGATTAAGCATTCAGGGTTAAGCAACGTTTCTGTCATTTTGGGTTAGCTTAGTACCCTAGGGTTAGCTAAGGGTCAAGCAGAAAATTAGGTTAGGTTAGGGTTAGTTTTTGGGTTAGTGTAAGGGTTAGCAATCAATTATTGTAAGGGTCACCCTTGCTGGTCTCCCGTGACGTAGTGCGTCCAACAAAATTTGAACAATGTTGCTGTCACGCTAAGACATTTAAAACACTTTAAAAGCTCGGTTCTGATTGTCTAAAAACGTGTTTTTGGTCTTTGCTTGGTTTTGAACATTCGTGCCAAATTGACAGGAAGTCAGAGAAGCTGTAGAGATCTCTGTAATTTGGAATGATTTGAGATGTTGCCCGGGGGGGACTCCTGTACAAAAAGGACGGGGGTACTCGTTATACCTTTTAGGGGTAACTCTTAGGGTGTTCAGCCTCGAAAGGTCCACAGCAGGAGCTTCTGCAGTACCTTTTCGGGTGTATAGCTAAAAATGTGACAGGAGACAATGTGGTGAAAAAAAAAAATCATGCCACGCTCACAAACAGGATCTTGGTATCTCTTAGGGATTCTTTTCAAAACTTCTGCCGAGCTCTCCCATCCTTTTTATCTGGAAGGCTTGGGAGTGTGCCCGGATGTTGCCTTGCAAGTGTATTCAGGATATTGAGAACGTTTCCGTGTAGAGATGAGCCAAGCCTGGGTACAAGGCAGCAGTAGTTGAATTGAGCACACAAAGCTGATCTTTGACTTGATCATGAATAGTGCCTGGATTTTGCCGTATTTTCGAAGTCTATTATCAGTGTTGTTAAGTGTTGCCCTTGTTCCATTTTGTTTCTTGTAAATTATATTTTAATTTTTGTAGTCGCCGTTTGACGCATTTCTCCTTCATCGTGGACTGAAAACCCTCCACGTGCGCATGGAAAGACACAACCAAAATGGCATGGAAATTGCCAAGTTCTTGGAAGCTCATCCCAAGGTATTTATAATAAACGCCTGGCCTTAAATAAAGTATGGTTTAGACGAGTTTACAAACTGTAACTTATGATAATCCCTGCGGGATTATAGAGATTTTGTAATGATCCACTCAAATTTCGCCAAGATCTTGTCCAAATCTATTGATCTCTCCAAGATTTCCTCCGAGTCTCGCCACGGTCTCGGCTAAATCATGATCTTGCCGAGATTGGCGAGATTTCTTGCCGAGTTCTTGGATACATCTTGCCGAGATCTTGTCTCTGAAATCCCGCCAAGACCTTGGCTAAATCTCGGCGAAATCTTCACTAAATCCCGCCGAGATCTTAGCTAAATCTTCCCGAGATCTAGACTAAATCGTAGTGAGATCTTGGTTAAATCTTGGCGAGATCTTCGTTAGATCTTTGCGAGATCTTAGTGAGATCATGGTTAAGTCTTTTCGAGATCTTGGTTAAATCCTGGCGAGATCTCGCCGAGATCTTGGGCCAAATCGTGATCAGACCTTGGTTAAATCTTGGCGAGATCTTGGCGAAATCTTCACAAAATCTCGCCGAGATCTAAATATTCGCGAGAAGTTGGCTAAATCTTGGCTAAATCTTGGTGAGATCTCGGCTAAATCTTCGCTAAATCTTGGCTAAATCGTGGTGAGATCTTGGTTAAATCCTGGCGAGATCCTGGCGAGATGTTGGCGCGATCTTGGTTAAATCTTGGCGAGATCTTGGTTAAATCTTGGCGAGATCTTAGTGAGATCTTGGTTAAATCTTGGCGAGATCTTGGTTAAATCCTGGCGAGATCTCGCCGAGATCTTGGGCTAAATCGTGATCAGACCTTGGTTAAATCTTGGCGAGATCTTGGTTAAATCTAGGCGAGATCTTAGTGAGATCTTGGTGAAATCTTGGCGAGATCTTGCTGAGACCTTGGTTAAATCTTGGCGAGATCGTGGCTAAATTTTGGCGAGATCCTGGCGAGATCTTGGCGAGACCTTGGTTAAATCTTGGCTAGATCTTGGCGAGATCTTGGCTAAATCTTGGTGAGATCTTGGTTAAATCTTAGCTAGATCTTGGTTAAATCTTGGCTAGATCTTGGTTAAATCTTGGCGAGATCTTGGTTAAATCTTGGTGAGATCTTGGCTAAATCTTGGTGAGATCTTGGTTAAATCTTGGCGAGATCTTGGCTAAATCTTAGCTAGATCTTGGTTAAATCTTAGCTAGATCTTGGTTAAATCTTGGCGAGATCTTGGTTAAATCTTGGTGAGATCTTGGTTAAATCTTGGCTAGATCTTGGTTAAATCTTGGCGAGATCTTGGCTAAATCTTGGTGAGATCTTGGTTAAATCTTGGCGAGATCTTGGCTAAATCTTGGTGAGATCTTGGTTAAATCTTGGCGAGATCTTGGCTAAATCTTGGTGAGATCTTGGTTAAATCTTGGCGAGATCTTGGTTAAGTTTTGGCGAGATCCTGGCGAGATTTTGGTGAGATTTTGGTGAGATTCCGGCGAGATTTTGGCGAGATCTTGGCGGGATCTTGGCTAAATCTTGGCGAGATCTTGGTTAATCTTGAATAAATTTTGGTGAGATCCTGTCGAGATCTTGGCTAAATCTTGGCGAGATCTTGGTTATTCTTGATTAAATTTTGGTGAGATCCTGTCGAGATCTTGGCTAGATCTTGGCGAGATCTTGGCGAGATCTTACCTAAATCTTGGTGAGATCTTGATTAATCTTGGTTAAATTTTGGTGAGATCCTGTCGAGATCTTGGCGAGATCTTGGCGAGATCTTAATGATATCTTGGCTAAGCAAGATCTTGGCTAGATTCTGGCGAGATCTGGCGAAATCGTTTCTAAACCTTGACTAAGAGATCTGAGATCTTGGCGAGATCTTGGCGAGATCTGGGCAAGATCTGGCAAAATCTTGGCGAGATCTTTGTTAAATCTTGACCAGATCACGGCCAAATCTTGGCGGGAACTTGGCTAATCCTTTCCGGGATCTTGCCCTAGCCTTCCTATTCTTTTTGCCTTTCAAACAGTCGTTTGCGCGCGTTGTTCACAATCTGTGAGCCTGGCAATAGGTTGGAATCATTTCATCTTACTTCCAAATTGTTCTCTTTTTTTGTTATGTAGGTTGAAAGGGTTTATTATCCAGGTTTGCCTTCTCACCCACAACATGACGTTGCGAAGAAACAGATGACAGGCTTCAGTGGAATGGTGTCGTTTGAAGTCAAAGGTGGGAGACAGGAAGCGACCAAATTTGTTGAGGTGAGGAAAGTTAAGTCACGATGCTCATTACATTGATCATCACAAAACCACTAGATAGTCAAGATTAGTCTCGGAGGAGGGTTGCCTTAAACGCTCAATATCGGTGGAGTCTTCTCACGTCCAGGACCGAAAGTCAGATGGTAAAAGAATTAAAAAATGATCACAGACTGTGACGAGTTAGGTAGTTAGTTTGTAAGAGACTCGAACCTGACCACTCGATCAAGGCTCCAGCGCACTAGCTGTTAGTTAACCGCGCCTGGCACATGAAGGTTAAAGACGGAGGTTGAAAAATGTTGACATATCGTCACAACTTGATCGTGGGCGCAGGGTTTCAGTTGAAACCTTTTCTTCAGTCACAATAGACAACAAACCCTTTTAAGATGCTAAATGTACCGTTAATGGAGATCGAACGTTTGTGTCTACGAACGTCTTATAGCGTATACACGCTTTATAAGATATGCATAACGAGCATTTTTCTCCACTCAGCCGTACATTGTACTTCTGTGTCGATGAGAAAGTGAAACACTGAGGACCTGTTATTTGAATGAAGCCCTAGTTAGATCTGGTTAGGCTTAATCAAGGACTCCAAAACGTGGCGGAATGTAGGGTCGAAAAACTGAAAAGAAGCAGGAATGATTTTCCTTCCTTCTCCTTTACCAGGATCCCCACCCTCTATGCCGAGGAGATATTGGGACGTTTGTAATGTTGAGAATTAAATTCAATTCGATTACCATATTCCAGTCGACTGGTCGAATAATTTAACTCTAAGTTCAAATCGACGGTAGCCTGTGAGCAGGCTCACCTTTGGGTCACTCGCGCGAGCAGTGAGGAGCAAAGCGATCCGGTGGGAAGGAGTCTGGTGAAGAGGCACCAAGAAAGTCACTTTCTCGTCTCGCGGCTTCGTCGCTCGATTTCGCGCTCGCGGCTACGCTGTGCGCGCTTGTGCTCCAACGTGGGCCTGCTCGCAGGCTAAATCGACGGCTGCAGGCGACCAAAGGAAATAATTGTTAAATTACCTATGCATTTTGTGTTACAGAGCTTGAAGATGATTCAACTTGCAGTGTCCCTTGGCGGTGTTAAGAGCTTAATCGAGGTGGCGTCTGGCATGACCCACCCTGACAAATACATGTCTTCAGCTGAGCAGCTCGAAGGAGGTCTAGGAGAGTCACTTATACGGTTCAGGTGGGTAATCATTCCGTGCTACGTGCAGGGATTAAACGAGTCGTTTTAGACATTGTGTGTGCTTATTTTGTATCGTGATACAAAGGAACTGGTCTGCCGTGAGGTCATTTAAACGTCACGGGCTAGCCGGAAGCAAGCTGGCATTGTGTGATTGCATGACGAACGCCAGCTGGACACTGTGATTTCTGTCACAGCTATTAGTTGTGTTGTTGCGCAACCCTTTACCTTATTGGAAAGGAAGCATGGTTCGCTCATCCGATTTTGAAATTACGAGCGTGATAACTCCCTGAATAGTTCGACATGAGGTCCAATTAGTAATTTATCGTATCTAAAACAAATTTCGGAATTAAAGATGTCTTTTCAGAATTTCCTTTGAGCGAAAAAGTTTGTCGCGCTTTTCATACGTTTCAAAAACTGTAGTAAACATTGAAAAGGAAGCCATTAAAGCGCGCGTAATTGACGTGCGAATGGCGTAGGTATCCAATTACAATAAGTTGGACACCCACGTGATCGCGCACCGATTATGTGACAAATAAGCGCGCGGAGAACCAATCGCGATCGTGAATTTTGTTATAGATTCGATTAACAAAGTAAGAGATGGGAATTCGGTCAGTCAGGGCAATTGTTTCGCGTTCCTATTTTTGTTATGTGAAAAACAAGATTGATCGCAGATTAGTTTTGGATTTCTTTTAATCCTTGGTGAATTCTTTTGTAAACAAGAAAGCCTTTATATGTGACACTGCTTGGTTCATATGAACGTTTCTTACGTCTGTTCATGTTTATTTTCTGCAGCGTCGGCTTAGAGAACGTGGAGGACCTTAAAAAAGATCTCGAACAAGCTTTGGAAAAAGCTTGTGGATAAATATGACGAAACTTTAGAAGATGAAATTCATTTTGCTGTAGAAACGACAAAGCCTACGCTCTTGGTCATAATTTGACTTCATCACCGCAATGTTGGATGACATGAACAGAAGATTTCTAGCTGTGTTCTTTGGTTTGTCCATCAAGGCCACCACAAATCACAGTATAGGTTGCTTATTATCAATTGGTTGCAAAATATATTTAATGGGAAGGGTAAAATAAATTATTGAAAATGCGTGTTTGTTATCTTGGTTTGTGAGATGGGATGTGCACTATGAGATGGAGTTAACGCCCAAATTCCCAACCCACCCCCACTGAAAATATAGTGCAGGTATAGGCTCGCAATGCGTACATATCTATAGTAATCGAAACTACTATCTGTTAACCTGGTGACTAACGCATAGAAAAAAATCTAGGTTAATTTCCTTCACTTGAAATTTCTTTAGACTTAATTCTTTACTTTCTGTTCCCATCTTCTATTCCAGGGCTACATGGTGCAACATTTCATTTGTAATGTTACCCTTGATATATCCACCTCGCCTCAAATTATCACCGTCATTACCCATGAGCTGTTCCTGTCTGGCTTCGTAACTCAGTCGGTGGAGCAACATTGATCTAACCCCTTGCTTTGTGTGGTCCACCATTTGCTTTCTAGGGCTAACGTTCGGAAGGAAATTCTTGTGAGTTAATTTTCCAGCACATTAAATTACTTTCCCAGGTAGAATGGCAACTTCTGTATCCCCCTCCTTTTGGTACGTTGACCGTTTGATTGACAGTCACGACTCACGTGAGAGGGTGGAGGCAGCGTGGCAGCGAGTGGTTAGGGCGCCGGACTTGAAATCCGGAGGTCGCGGGTTTAAGTCCCTGACCACTAAGCTGAAGTTGTTTCTCGGTACACCCTGGTTTTACTCCTTGGCCACTTTTGTAAACAACTTGTCAACTAGTTAGGTGAAGTTTAGCACATTGACCGCTATGAACAAGCATTTAACATTTCTCTCTTTTAACTACACTACAGTTACCCCATCGTCTGAAACGATCGCTTGTTTACTAAACAATATTCAGGATGCAATTTGGCCATTTTATGAAGGCAGTGAAGCTATACAACTAAATATGAAGCAAAGCCTCTTATGGAATATCAACATTTATTGTATGGCAAGAGCGTGCAAAGATGAAAAAAAAAAAAAACGCGCTGAGATTGGCTGGTTAAAAGAGTAATGGTTAGGAGCCTCATGTACGATGTTACATGCTTGGCTGGCGGCCGGGAATGTTGATAGTTTCAACTTTAACACGGTCGTTGTTTTAATGTAAAAACAAAAGTTTAAAAGAAATGCTGTAAAACTGCATTACCTACAATCTTCGTGAGAAGGGCGCCATAGATTCCATACTGATCGGCGATTGATCCACAGCTAACGGTGAAAATTGATTTAGCTAACTCGTAAAAGCATGCTAGTTAACTGAATAAATAACAAACGACTGAGGTATTTTTCGAAAACAAACTTTACCCACTATTTTCGAATATAGTGTCAACTTTGTAAAAAGATTTACCGTACTGCACTGTTTATAATTACTAGTATCTCTCCACCTTATTCACATGTCCCCACAACAAACTCCAACCCATATCCCTTGTCAGCCCTTACCAGCTCAGAAATCTTATTCTCGTCGCAGCTTTTCTGGCTCAATGACCCTGTGAACTGTAATAAAGAAGTGGTTTTGACCAACCTGCCAACCTGATGCAAAAAAAACAAAATCCTGCTGTGTCTAGCTTATATGCGCATGTTCAAAGCTCCACTGTGAATCTTTCACTGACGATCAAGTTTGTGCTGTAAAGGTTATCGTCATCAAGTTACTGTTTGAAAGATAGTTTGAAACAGCAATTCTTAGATTAAATTTGTCAATAATCTGTATTATATGTAATGCAGTGAACGCGTCCAGCACTTGTCATGAGGGTAACATTGGCATTAACTGCTTGCCTTTTCGCCATGGTGGCGCTGCTTACATCGACTGAAGGAAACTTTGAAGCCTCGGGGAAGCATGAGCAAGGAACAAAAGATCACACTCCCATCTCGCTCGATCACGAATCTCACGCTGAAGACGAAGAGGGCAGTGCGTTCGATTCGGATGCCTCTGGTTCTGGTAAGGAAACGGAAATGTAAACGTAATACAGTAAAATACTGAACTTTATATTTGTTATTACTCACTGAAGTAAAATAGGACAAAG